AATATAGTAGAGTTTACATGCACTCACACAGTTATACATTCTGTAATCACCTAATCAAAATCAATCATATGAATAATGTGATCATCATATGTGATCAGTCAATCAAAACTAATCACAATTTTTTTTTAAAAAAAAAATACTTTTTTAATAAAAAAAAATATATATATATAAAGCAATGAAGCAACGAATTACAGGATTGTAACATTATAGTAAAATACTACTTAATACTAAACTAAACTAAACTACATAGAAGTTGACGAACAAGCAGCACAATTCACAACAAAAACACCAACAATGTAACAATACCAATAGTTCTAATATTGATGACTACAATAAAAAAATCATATCTAGATGAAAAGAAATATTATAAATATAAAAAAAACAAAATAACACACAAATGATACTTACACCAACTCCAACAACAATTCTGATAACACCAATAGCTACAACCCTAACAACAGCTTCAAGAATAAGGGTTCCAGAGATAGCAATTTCAAAGACAAGGTCACCAGAAATAATAATGGCTCTAACTGAAGATAACAAATACTATTAAATTAAACCTGAAAGAAAAAAATAAAGTAAGTTAGTTAAATTAACTAAAATAAAATAGAAAAAAAAACAGAATACAAAAAAAAAATGATGAAAAAATGAACACAAAAAGAATAAAAAGAGAGGTGAAAGAAAATGAAAATGAAAAGGAAAAACAAAAAAGAAAAAAAGGCAAGTAAAAAGAAAAATGAAAAGAAAAAAGAAGGCAAACTGAAAAAAAGAGGAAGAGATAACAAAAAGAAGGATAAATAGATAACAAAAAGAAAGAAAAAGGAAAACAAAAAGAAAGAGAAAAGAATAATGAAATGAAGAAAAAAGGTGAGTTGAAAGAAAGAGAAAATAGAAAAAGAAATAAAAAAAAAATATAAAAAGCAAAAAGAAAAAAATAGAAGAACGAAGTAAAAGGAATAAACATAATGAAAAGAAAAAAGAGAAGAGTAAAAAGAAAGAAGAGGGAAAGGAAAGAAAGAAAGTATTAAACAAAAAGAAAAAAATAAAAAAAATAAAAAAAATAAAAAGAAGCAAAAGGAAAAAAGAGAAAAGCAAAAAAAAAAAAAGAGAAAGAAAATGAAAAAATGAGAAAAGTGAAGAGAAAATAAAAATAAAATGAAAAAAAAAAAAGCAAAAGAAAACAAAAAGAAAGGGAAATAGGAATAAACTGAAAAAAAAGAAAGAAGTGAAGAAATAATAAGCAGAAATAGCAAAAGTAGCAAATAAGAGAAAGAGCAAAAGCAAAAGTAGCAGTAAAAAGCAAAAACAGCAAAAGCAAAAGCAGCAAAGCGAAAATAGCAAAAGCAAAAGCAGCAAGGCAAAAACAAAAATAGCAAAAAAAAAGCAAAGCAGTAAAAGCAAAAGTAGCAAAATACAAACAATAAAAAAAAATGATCATTGTATATACTCTTTAATCTTATTTGATAATAAAAAAAAATAATAAAAAAAAAAGATCAAAATAAAAAAAAAAAAGGATTTTATAATTTATCGCATATGCAATATATTGCCACCTATAAGATTCATGTAATATAAAATTAAAACAATTCAAAATAATCTGATTTTTTTATTAGTTAGGGTTAGGGTGAGGTGAAGGTAGTGTGAAGGTGATAAGAAAAGGTTTGATAGTAAAATTGTGCAAGAAATTTTTTTTGTTAGAGCATAAAGAATAGTTTTATAGCAAAATTTTTGAGTTACAGACGATTTTTTAGAAAAGACAATATTTTGTTTCGATTTCACATTACACCTGATCTTGCATTCTAATTGGTCGATCAGAGATAGCGATATATCGCTATAGTGATAAATTACAATATTCAAAAAAAAATCGAAATAAAAAAAAAATAAAAAAGATCAAAAAGATCAAAATAAAAGTACTATTGGCTGCTAAATATGTAATCTATTTTTGTTACACAAATATTCAAATAAAGATATGTGGCATTATATCCAGAAAATGCAACAACTACATTTTTGATATTTAGATTATAAATGTATCAAAAATGTAATTTCAGTATCAAAGGGTGTAGAAGTATAAGTTTGTCACTTCATTCTAGACAATTAAGCCAAATCTGCAAAACCTTATGCAAGCCTTTTTTGTATTTTGGCAAAACCTTTTAATATTTTGGCAAACTTTAAAATTTTTAAAAATTCTTACTTAATATATAGCTAAAACTTTTAGAATCTGCCAAATACCAAAAAATTTTGCTGAAATACAAAAAAGGTTTATATAATTAAATCTCTATAAATACAATCTTCTAAATATATATTCTATAAAAACCTCTATAAATACACAGTCTTGCTGTATCTCTATTATATATATACTTACAGATATTTATCTTTCTAAATATAATACCTCTCTAAATACAAATTTTTTTAAAATTTCTATATGGTCTGCACGAATTGTATTTAGAGAGGTTGACTGTATAAGGTTGCAGATCTGGCTTAAAGTTGCTAATGAACCTAAATTATACTATAAAACTAGTGACTATCTAAATTCTGATTAGCTATTAAATGCAATAACCAAACAGATTTTAGATAGTTACTAGTTTTACTAGGCATGTATAAATTGTGTGCCAGGTTATACATGTTGTTGATCACATATCTGAAATGTGCAAAATTCTTTAAAATTCATTGATATTAAGGTTAGAATTTGTATTAAGGTTAAATATTAACAGGAAATATAGTAAAATCGTTTAAGAAAAACTTTTAATTAAAGCACAATAGGTGGTTTCTTATACGAATTTTTGAGATATACCTGAGTTTTTGGCTTGTTTTGAATTTTTCTGATCGTCTAATATTACACCTGATCTTGAAATCTGATTGGTAGTCTGGCACTAACCTGGTACACAATTCATACATACTTTTACTAGCATAATTTAGTTTCATCAGCAACTCTAATCTGGCTTAATATATATGAAGTCTAATTTCTTTTATATTTTAAATTATTGATAACTTAGCTTTGAATATTTTTTAAATGATTGAAATAGCTAAAACATTTTGACTATATGTATAGTATACATATTGTGAGAAAGAAAGTTTATTTAAATTGATGTCAAGATAGTTCAAGTTGATTTGATAGAACACATATAGATGAATATTGCTATGAAAGCAGAAAAAGAATAAATTAAAGTATTTAATTGCTATCAAGAATCTATAAATATATATAATTTAATTATTAATATCTTAAATTTAAAATTTAATAATCTATTAGATATGTATATAAAAAGCTAACAATAAATAATAACAAAAAACATAAGGCTATACAAAATTAATTTTTTGTTTCTTATAACATAAAATTTTAAAAATGATCTAGCTAGTTAGCTTTTATTTTTTAAAAATACTTTATATATAAAAATTTTTTAAAAAATTTTTTAAAATCCTATCTAATTATTAAAATATATAAAAAATTTTCTTCCAAAATTTCTAAAATTTGATTTAACCAGGTTAGAAGAAATAATTAATTAAATTTGTATAGTCTAATAATTAAATTAATATACTATAAATAAATTAAAAAAAATACAAGTCACTCTCATTATAGTGAACCTTCGATATAGTGAAGATTGGCTTATAGTGAAGAATTTTTTCAGAACAGAATTATTATTAATAAATTTTTGCTCTATATAATGAAGTTAATTAGTCAATGAAGGCTATATCACGTGGCATATTTTGGCCAATCATATTAATGCATGTCATCATACAATATAAAATAAAGATCAACCAAATTTAGTAATGGCTAATTTTAAGTTTTAGCTATATAATATAAGTACGTATATAGAACAAGTACATATTGTTCTTGACGTATTACTTCTATGCGAATTCTGGATCATTCACTTCTGCACTTTGAAATCGATAATTTAAGAAATTTATTTCTGGTTTATGCACTATCGTTGTGTGTACATTTGTACTTATATACATTTATGTGTACGTATATACGTAATCAAATCGATACAGATAAATGCTACTGATTTTTTTTCTTCTGATTTTTTTTTAATTATTCGTGTGGGCAAACTTGCATTATTTAAAGAAAGTAATTTTTTTTGGTCAAATTTAATTGTTAATATAGGTGGGAGTTCTTATAATATTGAAGATTCATAAAGAACAATAAATTTCTCTAGATATGAAACCAATTCGCAAAGACACTTTATAAAAAAAAAAACTATCTGGATAATTAAAGGGGGAAAATCATTAGTTAAAAAATTTTTTTAACAAAATAAGAATGATACTTCTTGCTTAGTAGGATGAATAGGTCCTTTAAGTCTTTTATTTATTCTGAATTTAATTTAAATAAATGGGTCTTGTACTAATTCTTGAAAAACTGAATCTCAAACATTTTGCAAACATTTTACTTATATTTTTTTAAACATTGCTTTTTTTTTTTAAAAAAAAAAAAAGATTCTATTTTATGCCTTAATGAAGTTTGTCTTCTTGAGCAGGACTCGGTTCTGGGGACATTGCATCCCTAATAGCTCGTTGACCGGTTTCATTTTGGCAAGCAAAATCATGCCTTTTCTTATTTTAGAAACATGCCCCTTTTTTTTCTTAATTTTTTTTTTCCTGATCTATTTTTCTTTAAATTTTTTTTTCTTTACTTGCATTACGATACAATTTGTGACAAACATTGGTATAATGGCAATAGTAGAAAGATCTTCAAAAGAACCAACAAAAAAGCAAAAACATGACAAAGACAATAATGCAAAAAGGAAAAGCCTTACCAGTATCCAAAAAGCTGAAATATGCAGTTTAAAACAAAAAGAAGTTAGTCAGGTTAAATTGGCAGAAAAATTTAGTGTTGCTGAGGCAACAATCTCAGGTATTATTCGTAAAAAAGAGAAGTGGCTATCACTTAATTTAAGTTCAAATAATGCCACTTTGAAATGACAAAGGACTAGAAAGTTTCCTTTGCTAGAAGAGGTACTGGCTCTTTGGGTGTCCCAGGCGAATACAGCACTACAGACAGTTATGGGTGTAATACTTCAATGCAAAGCAATACAACTTGCAGAAAGACTCGATGTGACAGGTTTCAATGCCTCTGATGGGTGGCTTTCAAAATTCAAAAAATGGCATCATATAAAAGAATACAAATGCTTAGGTGAAGCTGCAAGTACACCTCTTGAGGAACTTCTCAAATTCTGTGATGAGCTACAAGAGATAATTAAAAATTACAACATTATACTAGCATATAGAACCTGATAAAACATTAGCTGATGGCCCGCTTTCAGGACAAAAAAAAGCCAAAGATTGTATTACAATATTACTTACTTGTAATTCAACTGGTAATCATAAACTTCCCCCTCTGTTTATACACAAATACAAAACCCCCGAGCTCTTAAAAATATTGATAAATCTACCTTACCCGTGTATTATTATTGGAATAGTTCTGCATGGATGCAGATATCTATTTTTAGTCATTATATTAAACATCTTGATAATCAAATGTGACTTGCTGGTCGGTCAATTCTTCTTATATTAGATGGCGCATCAACCCATGGACTTGAAGAAGGTATAACCCTGACAAATGTAAAGCTTAAATTTCTTCTTTCATATACAACTGCACATTTGCAACTATGCGATGCAGAAATAATTTGGAGTTTTAAAGTAAGTAATTTTAATTTGAGTTAGAGGTTAAGGTTAGAGCGATTTTTATTATATTTCATGAAAAAATTATTAACACTATTTTTACGACATAGGCGCATTATAAAAAAATTTTTTGTGAAAATCGTATAGATGCATTTGATACGTGTACCTTTTTGGAATTTGGTGGTGATCCTCCTAAACCAATAACTATCAAGGATGCAATCGATTTTACTGCTGCCGCTTGGAAAAAAGTGATACCGAGAACTATCCGTAATTGTTGGAGAAAAACTAGCATTTTGCCAAAGGATTTTCTTAATAAATTATTCCTATTTGAGGAGCTTGACCAAGCTATTGAACACGATATTACTAGTGAGATTCAGGATTTGATCTGGCGTTTGCCTTTTAAACAACCCATGAGTGCTGAAGAATATGTAATTGCCGATAATAATCTTATTACTACTGAATTGCCGAATGATGAAGAGATAATCGAGGCCGTAAAAAATCATGAATGTATTGAACCAGAAGATGAAGCCCCTCATAAACCAATATCCTTCTTTCAAGCCCTAGAATTTATTAATGGAATCTCATTGTTTCTCGAGCAACAACCAGATGGCAGTTTTAAAGTCAATGATTTTTTTATCCAAAATTTAAGTCAACTAAAGAAGGAAGTGAGACTAAAGCATATTGCTTCGAGACGGCAAGGCACCTTGGATTCATTTATTGTTGGCGCGGATTAGATTAAATTTTTTTTGAATTTTTTTTTTTTTTTAGAAATTTTCAAATTTTTTTTTTTTTTTTTTAAACATGTTTCAATTTTTTTTTCCTCTTTAATAATTAGATTAGATTGCGTTAGAAGAATTATAAAGGTAACGAATGATTAAATATAGTGTTTCATTTTCTGAGCATCACTTAATATAGTAACTTCGAAGTGGGTCAGCTGATTTAGAAAATTTATTTGCAGAGAACGACTGTATTTTCTCGTGATAAAAAAAAATTTTTTTTGGAATTTTTTTTGGGAGATTTTTTTTTTCTTTTTTTAATTTCGAATACAGCTCAATTGTATTAAATAAAAACCGGACATATATAAGTTCGAACTTGATTTTGACAAAGAATACTTAATATGGAATTCAATTTTTAGCAGTAATAGAAATTTTTTACGATCTATTGTAATTTATGCAGATACTGAGAAAATATAGATTGACGATACAAATCTAATAAATTATTTTATGAAGTAAAATCTGCATAGTGATAACTTTCTTGATACAGATATATATTTAATTAGGGCTAGTTACTATTTTAGATAGAACTTGCATCAATAATGTAACTATTTCTGGCGGGTTTTACCCTTTTGGTATTTCTCTCGACATAGTGAAGATTTGTGCCTTTACTTATTATCTTCACTATATCGAGAAACTTTCAATATAGTGAATCTCTTGATATAGTGAAGAAAAGGTTGCAGCCCGATGGCTTCACTATAATGAGAGTGACTTGTATAAATATCTGTAAGTAAAAAATACATAAAACTCAAACCTATCTTCTAATAGTTTCAACAAGTTTTTTAGTTTTACTTATTAGGTTGAAGATTATAAAAGGTAAACCCAGTTTTGACTTTTATCAATATTAAAATCTACAGGCTTTGTTTAACAAATATAATCTAAATATATTATCAATCTTGAAAACAAACTTGTTTACTAGAGATCTAACTACAAAAAAAAAGCCATTTCTTTTGTTTTAGAGATTCTTATATAATATAAATAACAACTGAATTTAAAAACATACTTTATAGCTAACCTTTATAAATATTCTCTATTTTTATAATTATTTTAACAGCATATAGAATGAAAGATATATTCAATTCTTCTAGATAATTCATTTAAAGTCAAATGATATCTGCAGCGTATATATGATTAAATTTTAGTAATTGACTAATTAAATTTAAAGACTACTATACTATTTGAAATTATAGATAATCTTAGCTAGAAGTGTTTATTTTTGAAGATTAATGATTATTATAGAGTGTACTTATTTTCAGAAGATGCTTATTTTTAGTGATTTATAGTAAATAAAATTGTTTTTTGAAAAAATGTAACCGCTGTTTATAATATTACAGAAGCTTCTTTACAAATGAAGCTGGATTCGCTCTACCTAGGTATACTTCACTTAGAAACGATCTTTAAGCTAGAAAATACTAATGTATAATAAATATAAACGTTTAAGTTCCTAATTAACTTACAAAAGTGTAGCTAACTGGTTTAAGAAAAAGTTTGAAGGTAATAATAACTTCGTAAAAATATTATATTCAAACAGATCACAAACACGCGAAGCTTTACTTAAATATAAAGAAATCATTTGGTAACTAGCTTTGCATTTCAAGATTTTGAAATTAATAAATCAGAATTTAAGTATTGTTTAAGTACGAATAAAAAGCTTATATGATTACTTTTTTTTAAACAAGTAAATAGGTTCTACTTTATTCGCCTGTGGTCTATATTTGAAATAGCTTATAGTAAATTAAGCGGGTTATACTGCAACTTTATCGTTTGCTAAAAACTTCGTTTATTATATTTTATCTAGCAATAGACGTATAGAATAATTAAATTTTCCTAAATATTTTTAATCTATTTCTAATGTTAATAATAAATAAAGAATAAATAAAGAGTCGTCATGCACTATATACTGATATAGCATATAATCCAAGGTGGAAATACTAAATATTGACAAGAAATATAAAAAGGTCCCAGATAACCATATTACACGAGTAGGTGCTGATATTAAAAAGTTAGATATGGTCAAGAATTTGTCAACTTGTTTAAAGAAGTGACTCAAAAATCTTGATTTTATTAATATTTGTCGAAAATACGTCGCAGAAGTTTTTCAATCCATCTATATCTTAGAAAATGCTTGAGAATTTGACTTATAAAATAAATGCTAAGTGTTTTGCAATTTCCGAAATGATAAATTTCCTAAATTTTTTTCGATTATTCGCCAGCGAAGATGCTTTGTTTCTGTATTTGAACTGAAATATTTGTAGTGATATAGCATTTATAGTAGTTACCTAATCATAAATTACATAAACTTGGCTGAAAAATTATCTGGCTAGGTGTTCCGGGAAATATGATAATATCTGTAATCGAGTATTCTGTTTTGGTACCTGGTTGATGAAAATGTTTGACCTGACATTGTCATGGATAAAAATTTTCGATCCGATTAGGAATCTTAAATTTTTTTTACAAGTGTTTCAGGAATTATGATAATAGCTAGATAATAGCTGTAACACATGGGTGACCCGCCTGTTTCCACCCGAGTTGCCACAATACCACTCGGGTTACCTGTGGGTGGACGGGTGACCCGGGTGGTCACCCACCCGGGTCCAATCACTATATAGATGCACGCGTAGCGATGCATCGCACTGGCGATAAATGATAATTGTCTTAAAATAATATATTAATTATAACTTTATAAAATTTTTATCTACAAAATTATTATTTAAAATTAATCATTCATCAAATATTAACTTAATTTTTTTTAGCTAGTATAGTTAATTATAATTATTTTTAACCGATGCTGATTCACGAAAATGTCCTGATGTTTATTTGAAACTTAGAGGATAAAATAAGATTATGAAATGTTTAGGTGATACAAACAAAATTAAAGCCATCCAGGATACTGTCATCAAATTTCTAAACAAACAAAAGATACACCAACAGACAACTGCCACAATCCTACAGAGGTTTTTTACACC